ACGTGGCCGTAAGAAACTTTAAATGATATGTGTAGTTCGCATCATGTTTCTATCGGAAAGTGCTGGCTTAGAGAAAAGAGGTTATTATGGCCTAAGAAATCTGGTTATTTGTAGGCAAAAACTTGAATAATTCTGCATTTATAAGGTTGAGAAGAGAGATTGCGTGAAAGATACCAGACTGTGCCCTAATGGGTAGATTTAAGGAGAAATTGGAGGCAGAAAAAGGAATATCAGTAGCAATTTTTTTACTGTGTCAGTATGTGCAGCAATCTGTAACTAATGGTGGCATTATTCCAACTTAGCACAAAAACAAAGCAAGATTGACTTTCCCTATGAGCTTGCTCTCTGATGAAATTTACCATATAATAATATTAAGAAAAATGTCCTTTGCAGCATACTGTAATACGCTTTTAAAGCAAAGAGATCCAGCAGAATTTATAGCCAGGCTGGTAGAGTAACAAGGTAAGATGCCTGATGCAAAGTAAATATTCAATAAATAATCAAGAGTTCACGCTTTTTATGGATAACTATAATATTAGTTTTCCTGGGTAACTAAGCAATGTTTTCTGGACTTCCAGATTCATCCATCCATTCATTAATTCACTCACCCGGAGACTATGTTTGATGCTGATGGTGATGAGGGGAGGGATGAAATCAAGATCCTGTGATGCTAAAAGCCATCGACCCATTCTCAGGGGTGCTGGGGAGATTTGAAGGTGATTCAACAGCAGTTTAAGGCAATCAAAAGCTAACTCAGAAAAGAAATAGGACCATGTATCAAAACAACCAACGTTACCCTTACTGCACATTCCATTCATTCACCTACACAAACTGATGAGACTGTATCTCAAACTAGAGTCAACTTGAATTTTTTGGCCAAGTGCTGTGTGTGTGTGTGTGTGTGTGTGTGTGTGTGTGTGTTTAAAAAAGCACCTCCGCTGGGACATACCTCCTACAGGAATTCAAGTACAAAATGACCTGTGGAGAATACCATACATAAGTTCTGCACATTAAGTAAGCAGCTAGCTGGGCAGGTAAACCTAATTGGAGGATCAGATGCTATAAATCTCCTCCTATTAGATGGCATGGCCCCTCCTCTCCATCCTCACAAAGCTTTGACCTTTGCCACGAACACAGTCCTGATCCTGCCTCTCTGGGGACGGGGATGTCATCCCAGACCTGCGCTTTTGGTAATAATGTCTCTTTAAATGGAAGCAGTCTTTCCTTTGTGCATTTTAGATTTTATTTGCCTTTTCTCTCTTCTGTATCTTTACTGTCACCATGCGGTGTGTGAAGGTGGGTGTAGTCTAGTGGAGGTGACATGGAGATTCACGGACAGCAGCATTTACGACAACCTGCTTTAGTCTCACAGACGATCTCAGAAACAGCATTGTATCTTACAGATGTTATGAGCATGGCCAACTTTGCTTTCTGGGTGAAGAAATAAAATTGCTACATGTAATTTAAAGTGCCTTTCCTAAAACCAAAGTGTACTAATCAATCACACTGTGTGTGTGTGTGCAGCTTTATTGAGCCTTATTTGAATTTTAAGATGTATAATGAATTAGATAAATTATCCAGTGAGCAAGCAACAGATTCTGTGTTCCTGTTCATGAAAAGTCTTTTGGAAAAATTTTTTAAGTTTTGTTTTGTTTGAGAGAGAGAGAGAGAGAGAGCAATCGGGGTAGGGGCAGAGAGAGGGGAGAAAGAGAATCCCAAGCAGGTTCCACACCATCAGTGCAGAGCCCTACGTGGGGCTCAGATTCACAAACCATGAGATCATGACCTGAGCCGAAACCAAAATTCAGAGGCTTAATCAACTGAGCCACCCAGGTGCCCCATGCAAAGTCTTTTATTCCAGGGCAAAAGTTTCAAATCATTTATTTTTCCAAAATTCTCATTAGCTTCTATTTTGTATCTTGTTAGTTACAACCTAATATTTTTAACCTCCAGTTGTTTTCAGGGGAAAACTATACCCCTTTGATACAAATTTATATATTATGAAAAACCAGCCTTGGGGGAGAAACAAGCAAACAAACAAACAAAAAAAGATGTGATGTAATAGCAAATGTATTTTGAATGAGAACATCGGATGGAAAATAAGAATTATTTTCACAGATAGACACCAAGATTCCAGGACCTATGTTCTATGCTCAACCGCATATTTTTACCTACCTGGATATTTGAACTGGCAGCCATCATTTAAAAAATTGCTCATGGGGCACCAGGATGGCTCAGTTGGTTAAGCGTCCGACTTTGGCTCAGGTCATGATCTCGTGGTTCGTGGATTCGAGCCCCGTGTTGGGCTCTGTGCCGACAGCTCAGAGCCTGGAGCCTGCTTTGGATTCTGGGCTCCCTCTCTCTCTGCCCCTCCTCCACTTGTGCTCTTTTTCTCTCTATATATATATCTCTCTCAAAAAATAAACATTAATTTTTTAATATATAAATAAACATTAAAAAAATTTTTTTAATTTGCTCAGACTGCAATATGATCTTTGGATCAAGATATCAAAAATACCACAGAGCTTCAGAAAGGTTGCCCCTCAATCTACATTTTTCCCAAGATCATGTTCCAGTTCTAATAACATCTAAAATTATGGGCAAAAAAAAAAAAAGTCAGGGAAAATTTGAACTTCTAGAGAGTAGACACTATTATTTTGTATTTGTGCTGGGCTACAACCTGTAAAGGCCTGAGACGTTTAACTCCATCCATGCTATTTCCACATGGAGCCATGACCATGAATCAACATTAACAGTATGAACATTGTGCTTCCTAGAACTCTCCCGAGTCCACTAAAGTTCTGTTAGAAGCGCTTTTTCAAGTCAGAAGCCCTGAGCGTTTCTCAGCAAGCCCACACGCCTCTGCCATTGAGCCATCAAGAACCGGGAGGCTGGGGGGGGGGGGTGTCTTTCCTCAAAGGCGGAAGGAGGTTGGAGGGTCCATAATCCTTCCACCTCTTCCAATAAACTGAGTGCTATCTTTGAATTTACACTCGTGTGATTGGCATGAAATTTCCCATTCCAGTGGAGCAGATCTTAGGGTTTGGATACACACAAATAATATCTTTGTTTCTGAGATAATTGGAGAATGAGTCCAAACTAAGAACTGAAGTTACTGGATTGGGCCAGGGAGGAGGTAGCTTTCTTCCTGCTTCTTGTCCCCAAGAGATTCGGTGGCTGCTAGGGTCCTACAGGCGTACAGAAGACAGAGTGGGACAGAAAATTGATGCACATGGCCTCCACTATTGTTCCAGGTGGGGTGTAGAGCTAAATTCCCTTCCTTCTCCTCTGGCCTCTGCTTCTACTTTTTTTATTTATAATTTTATAAAATTTTATTTGTGTATTTAGAGAGAGAGAGTGAACGGGGGAGGGGCAGAGAGAGAGAGAATCCAAAGCAGGCTCTGCAATGTCAGTGCGAGCCCAGTGTGGGGCTCGAACTCACGAACCAGAAGATCACGACCTGAGCGGAAGTCAAGAGTCAGACGCTCAACAGACTGAGCCACGGAGGTGCGCTCAGTAAAGGGGCGTGGTTTATGGTTCAGCACCCACGATGGTCAGTTTCCTCTGGCACAGTGCTAGTACTGAGTTCCACCCCGGGTCCAGGGCCTGGAGTCTGGATGGTCTCACTGCCACAACTTAGCCACAATCAATCGCATCCCTCCACGCTGCATCGTTGACATCAGTGCTTTTACATACATGGCTTCCCGTGACCCCGACAGAAACGCTACGGCGTTGGAAAGGTAGGCCTTGTTATGCCTGGTTTTGGCCATTAGGATGATCGGTACATCCTACTTCCCCATCTCATGCAAGACTTTGAAACTGTTGCCGAACCCTCCCTGCCGTGGCAGACACTCAGTGGAAACATGAAGGATTCGGTCAAACTGGTTATTTGGCATCGTGCAGACCACTATTTCCCAATCTACAAGCGAATCATGACATTTGGGGCGTGAGGAAGACGCCCTGGGTGGTGCCTTAGTGCAGGGTTTCCTCATTTCCATGGGCTTCCGGTCTCTCCTCTCTCCAGCTTCTAACTGTCACTGCAACTACATCTCATTCTTCAGCCTGATGTCACATGCAGAAGTCCGGAGGTTCCTAATCGGCACGGAGTCTTCGGGAGCAGGGGAAGCTTCCTTAAGTAGGTAAGATCAAGACGGATCACAACCGGGAGGTGGGTCGGGAATGGTTCTCAGATGTAAGGGTGCTACTGGGAGTTGGCCGGCCTTCCTGGTCCCCCTCTGTCACCTGTTGGCTCTGTGACCTTAGACAGATCTAAAATCTCTCTCTAAGCCTCGGTTTCCTTCATTGTTAAGGTGAGGATGATTGAACCTACTTCATGGAGTTTCTTTGGGATTTAAATAACACACATGAGGCATGTAGAGCTATTCTCCACACGAGCTCAGCGCTGAGTAGACATTAGCTACCGCTAGGTTTAAAAACCTTAAAATTACATAACGTTTGCAGGTAGAAGATTGTCTTCAACCGGACAGCAAATGTATGGAAAGCTATTAACTTCAGAAGGAAGCTCTCAATTTCTAGAAGTCAGTCATTAATTTGTTCCAGTAAAAGCTCTCTGATGTTCCTTTCTGGCTCATGCTCAGATTAGGAAAAATAGTGAAAGGGCTTACACACACTGACTGCACGGTAGGTCACTTAATCCTTCCTGTAACCCTGTGAGGGACGTTACGTCATTATCCTCATTTTGCCCACAAGGAAACCAAGAGAGAAAGCTGTTAAATCAGTTGCCCAAAGGTCAGAAATCTTGTCCTCCATACTAAATTAAATTTCCTTCAAGAACTGGACGGGGTCATAGCAGTGTCCATGTGAGCAATGGATTCACATGCTCAGAGGTAGCTTACTGTGTTGGCTCCCTCCCACACTTTCTCGGTGTTTCTAGGACGCTCGTCTTTCGGTTTTCACCAGGGCATTATTTTCATCCCTTCATCAACGTTGATGTATAAGATTAATCTGTGATTATTAAATGTCTTATGTCAGGCATTCCCACGATGTGGCTGTTTTTCACAACAACCTGTTTGCTCTGTGGAACTTTAAATGCTGGTAGCTTCTTTAATTTGGAAAATGAAGCGAATCCTGAAGTGTGGATGAATATTGTAAGTCATGCGAGGTTCCGAAAGACATCACATAAGGCTGATGCGTGGGTTGTGAGATTAGCAAAGGTCTTGTGATAGCAGAAAAATCTTAGAGAAGGAAACAGATGAAAAAAAAAAAAAAACATAGGTGATTTTAACATTTCTCTGAGTCAAGCTAGGCTGATGTTTTCTTCTGACTGAATAAATAATACTCTCTAGTCACGTCAAGCGAACTCATGTGTGTAGGCAACCTCCTCTTTTGAAATTGTATTTTTAAAACATTAAGAATTTATATTTTAAGCCATTTGGATGATAGATATGACAGCCTTCTAGTGGACTGTGGTTTTATTATCTTTAAACCAAGAGGGGTCTGGAGAATCGGCCTGAGAACATAGTTTTGTCGGAAGAATGAGGAGGGCACCTGTTGTGATGAGCACTGGTGTTGTAAGGAAACCAATTTGACAATACATTTCATATTAAAAAAAAGAAGAAGAATGGGTCGATACTGAATAATATCTCCACCCAACCACTAACCCCCAGATTTGCCAATAGTAGACCTTTCCTAATAGTCTGCTTATTCGTTATCAAGACTTTACATAGTAAATTAACCTTACAGTTACCTGGGGCTACAGATTTCAGATCACTCACTCCAATAAACACACACCAGATTCTTTGTTCTAGTTTCTTCTGATGACCTCTGGAGAAGATGTTGAGCTAATGCCTGTATTTTCACTGGACAGAGCGAGATCATCACCTATAATGGCTACCCCAGTGAAGAGTATGAAGTCACCACTCAAGACGGGTACATCCTCAGCATCAATAGAATCCCCCACGGGCGAAGAGATGATAGAAGCACAGGTATGAGATGTGTCTCTCCTGCGAAGGAGGACAGCAAATGACTAACATTGAGTGCTGGCTTTCCTTTAAGGGAATGACTGGTTTGTCAAAACTGGATGAGTCTTGAAATAGTCAACAGGGAGCCTCATTCTTTTTCCCATTCTCTGAAGCCAGGCAAGAAGCTAAAAATACAAAGGGCAAGACTGATCTTGTTGAAGGCGGCCGACTTGGCTTGCGGGTGGGGGTGTAAATGCAAGGCAAAGCGTGCATTTCGCTGGTTCATTACTGATCTCTCATGCGGAAAATTGTTACATCCCAGGAAAGCAGATTTCCTGGCTGCTGGAAAGACGTTTGCTGGGCTGTGTGAGGTTGACTGGGTTGCGTGCAGTCTCTCCTGTCCCTGCAAAGATCAACAGGCCTTTCTCTGTAGGCTACAGGGGGGAAAAATCAAGTTAAATGATCGTGACATATCTGCAACTTTTTTTCCAGGAAGGAAAACTGGAACATTCACCTATGTTTTGATTTGAGGGACAGGAGTTTTGTGGAATGAAAGAACATGGTGTTAGGAAGGTCTGAATTCTGGAATAAAGAGCCAGCCGTGCAAAAGCAGAGGAATTATTCTTTAAATAGGGACACATAACTGCAGCTCTCGGGATGAGAAAGAGGGAAGACTGAGCAAAGTATCTGGGGAGGCTCCAGGGCAAAGTGGTTTACTCAGATTGCTGCACGGGCTCTCCTGCCAGTCACGTTCAGGGGCAACTAACATCACGCTGTTTAACTTCCTCTGCCTCTAACAAAGAAATGTGTAATTCCAGGGTTTTGGAATGAAAACTGGGAGTGGGGCTAGGTAGGGTTACCAGACAAAATAGGACACATCCTGTGAAAGGTGAGTTTCAGATCAATGACAGATCGGTTTCTCATACAAGTTCCACTTTAGGATGTACTTATACAAAACGTTTTTTTTATTGTTCATCTGAAATTCACATTAACATGGCATCCTGGGTCTTCTGTTAATCTTCCTTTCGTTTCAATACCAGCCCAAGTTGGGGGGGGGGGGGGGATGGCCAGGAAGCATAAAAGGAGAGGATTTCTCCAGGAAAGGTTTTACTTAAGGAGGGAGGATTTGGGGAAGATTTGGAATTAAGAACCATCTATTAAGTGTATTTTTCTACAAGCTTTACATTAATTTATATCAGATAAAGCTCTCAGCATCCGTATGAGGTCAGTACTATTCATGGTTATCATTTTACAGATGATAAGGCAAAGCAGGTTCTCGAGGTCACACAAATAGCAAGTGATGGAATCAGAATTCAAATCCAGCCTGGATCCAGAGAGCATGTGCTCTTACCCATTGAATGATGGTGACTTTTTGGAACCTTCCACCCTGAAGACCCTCTCCCTCGGGAATTCGGTTGTTGTCAGAGGGGTGTTGAGCTGGTTGTATTGTATTTTGGTTTTCAAATGCTCTCCAGTAGGCAGAGGCGGGGGGGTTTGGCTAGAAGCTTGGCAAGGAGCCAGATGCTGTCCATTTACCGTCACATCCCCCTCCTCCCTGGAAGAGGCACAGAACACCATCAAGCATGATCATTTTCACGTCTCCGCCAGCCAGACCCAGGAGATACGCAAAAGTGAGTTCATGGAGCAGTGAGCACCGTTACAAGCACCCACTTGGTTGTGAAACAGAACCGGGCTTGAGTCCTGGCTCTGCACCCTGTTAATTGGGTGGCCCCTTGGGAAAGTCACCTAACTACCTTCTAAAGCTGCGTCTCCTCTTCTGGAAAATGAGGATCCTTAAAATAGTAGCTACTTTATGGAGTTGTTATGAGAATTTAATAAGCTCATCCGTGGCCATCTGTCAACATATCACTAGGTGCAATGCATGTGCTCAAGAAACTTACACCATGTTAACCAAATGCTCTATATGAAAGGGAAAGGTGAATGCTGATTAGGTTTTTGCTTTTTCTGGGCATGTGTGTGTTTCTATCATGTTCCTGAGATGGTCTACTTATCAGAAGTTATTCTCTCTCTCCTCTCTCTCTTCCTCCCTCCTTCCAGGTCCCCGGCCAGTTGTGTACTTGCAACACGCTTTGTTTGCAGACAATGCCTCTTGGCTTGAGAATTATGCCAATGGCAGCCTTGGATTCCTCCTAGCAGATGCAGGTTACGATGTCTGGATGGGAAACAGTCGGGGAAACACTTGGTCAAGAAGACACAAGACGCTCTCAGTGACTGAAGAAAAATTCTGGGCCTTTAGGTAAACGGTATCTAAGAAAAATCATGAAGAGACTTTGGGACCATTGCTTTGAATATAATAGTGTGGGTGATATTAATAATAATCTGTAACATTGGGAGTCACGTGGTTCCGTGTAGCTTCTACTAACATCTCAAAGCAGAGACATAGCAAGGTGTTTGATTTCCACTGATTCTCCCACAAGCAAGTTACATCATTTTCCCAGGATCATTTTAACATCCAGTTTTGTCCAATACTGTACATTATAAGCATGTCTCGAGGGGCAGCTCAGGACATTTCTAGGACCGGTGCACACACTCATTCAACCAATGTTTGCGGAGCGTCTCATCTCTGCATAGTTCGGGGCCCTGAGCGCTCAACGGTAAGCAAAGTACCGGCCCTCGAGAAGCTTATGTGCATTCCGACGCTACGAATACAGGTCTTTCCCCTCGGACGGTCACTCAGTTTTGCAGAGATGATGTGTACCAGTACTCGATTTTATTTACAGAAACTCTGGTTGAGACGCTATTAAATACCATTTTCAGGACAGACCCAATAGGAGGTCTTTAAAACCTTGCTAATGGACAATGGAGAACCATGGTCTAATACGCTGCCTGCTTCTTTTAGGGAAAGTGTGCTCTGCGGGCATCAGAGGACAGGTTGATGCCTGCAAGAGACTGCCCAAGGCTAACCTCCCTGCTGGTTTCCAAGCCAGCTGCCGGAACAGAAAGTGCATTCCTAGCACACGAATGAAATGGTCAGCACCCACTGGCAGGGGAAGAATAAAGGAAAGATAGAGTAAATTTGGGCCAGGGGCAAACATCAGGATAATATTTTGTGTCCGTGGCCCTTGGTCGGGAAGGTGGAGCTTGTTTACTGCAAGACGACCTTTAGCAGCCTCGCTACATCCCTGGCATTATGTTGCTTTCCCAGATGAGGAACCTGAAGCTCAGAGCATTTAAGTAATTCATCAAAAGTTACTCAGCCAGAGTCATGATTTGCAACCACTTCTGTTTCCAAAGCTGGGCATGAATCTTGCAAGCGCCCTGGGGATGTTTGAAGTAGAGGCAGAAAAACCAGATGGAAAAGGGAAGGGGATGAAGGGGAGAAAGGGTAGGACTGACCGTCAGACAGCACACACAAGTCTTGAAATCAGCCCCGCTAAAAGTAACGCATAGAAATGCAGCCAACAAGGCTCCAATAGCCTGCACGTGACCAGATAAATAATGAAATGCAAGGCAAATGAGTGAACAGCACAGAATTCTGTGTATAAAAAATAAGTGAGCAGGTGCTCTGCATCTTAAACTTAGGAGCGAGTGTTTATAAGCCCCTGTTTTATTTTGCAGTTTTGATGAAATGGCCAAATACGATCTTCCGGGAATAATAGACTTCATTGTAAATAAAACTGGTCAGGAGAAGCTGTATTTCATTGGACACTCCCTTGGCACGACAATAGGTATGTTTACAAATGTCCGTGTTTTACAAGGTCGGAGCCTTGCAAGAGTTCGCCTTTAAACTGGAACAGAGTAACTGTCGTTTATCATGCCCTTAATTCTCTGTCCTGTGCTGGACGTGTTAACCTAGTGCCCTAAGTGGTTGTGAATTTGCCCTTAATTCTCTGTCCTGTGCCGGACATGAAATCCTAGTGCCCTGTGTGGTTGTGAACTTGAATTTCAGAGACTGTGTCTAGGACAAATCTTTCCTCCATGTCTGGTCCCAACAGCACATTTGTAACCGCGATATAATTTACATGTGCCCCAAATCTAAAGAAGTATTTCCAAAGAGTTAAGCATCTAGGTCCCCTCTGAGCTGAAAAAGTAAAGCCTGATGCCTTGAAATAACCCTGAAGAATGATAAATATGTATCAATCATACCTGCCTCACAACCCATATGGGATTTTTAAAAAATAGTAAAAGGGTGAGGTTCTATCTCTATATGAACAAACTGAAAACATACGATCACTTTTTTTTAGTTGAAACACAAAAGCATACGTCAACTGGGCCCATTTAGCATGTGACTTAATGTTTATGGCATTGCAATTAAATGTAAGCACTATGTAGAAAAATTTTGAAAAGCCCAAGATCCTACTCTCTGAAAATGTACTTCTTAATGATTTACTACATCTTTTAGGAAGAAATAAAAAATCCAGTTCCAAGTAAAAATTTAGAGGAAGCCATACTATTTATAATGCCAATTTGTTAGCGATCTTCCACTAATGTTTTCCATTTTAAGAGATTACGTGGAATGCAATATTTTAGCTGGGGTGAAACTATGCAAAAAAAATAAATAATCTTACAGTCTCCTTATCACCATTACCGTCAACAGCAGATGTATATTTATTGGTGCTTTACATTGATATGTTTGGAACAGCCAGTGAGCATCCCAGGACATATTCTAAAAGGATATAAAAAATTTTAATGAGACAAAAACAAAACAAAACAAACAAACAAACAAAAAACCTGCCACCAACTGGCAAATAATTGCATTATCCTAGCGCACACTTGGCGAGCATTGACTATGTTTAGGGTCTTGTGTGGAGGACCCTTGGTCAGGGTGTCTTAGCAGAAAGAGCACAGATTCGAAGCAGGTCAGTCTGACAGCCCCAGTGGGGTGTAGGACATGTGGAAGGACCGAAGGAGAAGGAATGACTCGAGTGGGGTCTAGAAAAGTGGGCAGGATGTAGGGATGCTCTTCCGTCTGACCCACAAAGAAAACGAATGATCCCATCAGCAGGGCTCTGCACTGCATTTAGGGCATGCTCTTTTCCAGGGAGCACTTGCAGCAGAGCAATTTTTGGCCTGTGAGAAGGGCCCGTCCCTGGCAAGGTGTTTAGCAAGCCAGGCTCCAGCTCAAGACTAGTGAGTGTGAGCGTGGAAAAACTCCTCTCCGCACATCTCCAAAGATCTGGGGAGAAGTATCCCCCTACCGGCATTCCCGTTTCAGTCTTTGTAGCAGCTGCTCAGCCCATCAATACAAAGTCAGTTCTTTTTTTTGGCCAAGATGGTTTCAATGTTTCAAGAAGAATTTCAGGGGAAAAAAATTCTCTGCTACGGCTGTGTCCCCATGCGTTTGCGACACGCGTGCGCGCGTACACACACACACACACACACACACACTGACAGGGTCCCAGGAGGACTAGAAACAGGTGCTATAGTGTTGCAGGAAAATCAGAGCAGGTGGACACTGCTGGTGTCCCAGGACCACAGTGGACCGAGGGAAAGCAGGGAAGATTCTGGAGGCTCGTAAGCATCCAGTTAAGCACTGGGAGTAGTGAGATCTGGTTGCACTGTGAGAAAAACAAATTGTGGAATAACTGGATGATACTACATAAAGAACTGATTGTTCCACCTCCCATGAACCAATCATTTACTCCTGGAAGCTCTGTGACTCATCCTGGCATCTCAGAGCTGGTGGTAAATTGACAGCATTGCCCGCACTTAGCCCATGCCTGTGAGCGGAGATGCCCACGGCCCCTCGGCAGGGGCGGCTCCAACAGCTTATCCCCTCGCTCTCCCCGACCAAGGTACATTGTTCAGAATCCGAGAAAAATGGACACTTGACAGCAGAGGGACTGAAGGCAGATTATCTTTGCAGAACATCTCAGAAGTTTCCCAATTCATCCGCAAGATTGTTGCAATAGAAAGACAACCCATCAAAGCAGAGTCCTACTTTTGTTAGTACAGACATTGCCTCGGTATTTCTAATTTTTACAAGATTGTCTTGTCTCCTGTTCTCTTAGGGTTTGTAGCCTTTTGCACCATGCCTGAACTGGCACAAAGAATCAAAATGAATTTTGCCTTGGGTCCTGTGGTCTCATTCAAATATCCCACGGGCATTTTTACCAGTTTTTTTCTACTTCGAAATTCCGTAATCAAGGTAGGCTCGTTTTCACCGAAATGTATCTGAGGATCCCATCTCGGATCGTGTGTTACATAAGCCTGAATAATACACCCTTTCTCATAGGGGAGGTTTGTTAAGATGCCCAAACCCAAATGTCCTACAGCCCGATTATTCATTCAGACATTTATTGGTTATTTTCCAAGGGCTGAAAAAACAGTTTGGTGCCCAATGTGGATTTGGGACTTTATCCATCCAAAGATTTTTGTTTTTTCTGTTTGCTTTTTGAGTCTCTAAAAAGTTCACGCCACAAAAAGCATCGCGTTTTGCCAAAATTGGGGTGTCGGCTAAAATGGATTTGGGCCAAAATGAAGTCAAGGAGACCAATTCAGGTTTCATAGTAATTTTTATATAAAATCAAGCCCTGGTTTAGGGCGAAGAGGTGGGAATGGAAAAAAACAATTGTGAACTAATACAAGGAAGAATCTCCATAGTCCCTAATGACTGGTTTCATAGTGGTTTTATTGTGTTGTTTACTGTAAGCTCAAGTGATGTAAGTTCCCTTTTGTGTGGTTGACAGGTCTGTTGCAAAGGGTGTTGACCTCAGTTCAGTTTGGGACGTTTTCTCCATTTGGGCAGAGTTGAGCAGACAGTCTTCCCTCGAGGGAGATGGATTCATGAGTCGTTTCTTTTCCCGGATGACTTGGTCTCCTTGGCAAAAACAGCAAATACAAACACAAACAGATCTCCCGAGAATCCTCATTCCTGGGGATGGAGGGGAACATCAAGGAGTCTGCAAATGGTTCTTGAAAGGATACTTCTTTCTTCTTTTCACAGCGTTTTTTTGGTACCAAAGGTTTCTTTTTAGAAGATAAGATGGGCAAGGCACCGTCTACCAAAATCTGCAACAATAAGATATTATGGGTGATATGTAGTGAAATTATGTCCTTATGGGCTGGAGCCAACAAGAAAAATATGAACGTGGTATGTATGATGATCAGGGGACCATTGGATGCTCTAAGAAATTCCAGCTTTTCTTTGGCTCTCGTTGATGTATCTGTTAAACGGCAAAGGTCGATACACTATTCTAAAGCATAAGGGCAAAGATTGGCTAAGCATAGATGAGGTATTCAATGGACCACGACTGTGAAGACCGGGGAAAAGAAGAGGCAGTGTCATCCTTCCGTCCCTGGTCACACACAGGAAAACGATGATGTCCCACCAAGAGTAGAGGGTTCACCTGTTTACTCTCAACCACCATTACTACCGTCCATTTCATTTTACAACCACTCCTGTGCCCTAAATAATAATAATAATAATAATAATCCCAGAAGAGAAAAGAAGTACATCCAAGCATTGAGTTTATCTCCTGTGTGCCTTCATTTGCTGGGTGCTGTTGGCCTCAGATAAAACTCCTCACTTCACTTGGAAAGCACAAGACACAATGGGATGGAGGTCGAATCCCTTTCCCACAGAAAAGGAACAGTCCTGTTTCATCAGCTCTTTGTTTCCTGGTAGGAGAATTCAAGGAGGAGGAGAAGGAGGAGTTTACATTTGCGGGCTGATGTGGTTCAATTCCATATGGCGGCCAGTGAGGCTGTGACAGTGAGGCTAGTCCTCAAACAGCTGGTCTCTGCCAGCCCGCTCTACCCCTATTCAAGAGGCTAAGTTGTGCCCAACGGAAATACAATGGGAACCATTGTTCAAAGCCTGCTTATTCAAAAGTAAATGTATTTTTTAATTTTTTTAAGTGTTTATTTTTGAGAGAGAGAGCGCGAGTGGGGGAGGGACAGAGAGAGAGAGAGAGAGAGGGAGACAGAGCATCCAAAGCAGGCTCCAGACTCCAAGCGGTCAGCACAGGGTCCGAGGTGGGTCTCAAACTCGGGAACCGTGAGATCATGACCTGAGCCAAAGTCGGGCGCTTAACCGACTGAGCCACCCAGGCGCCCCAAAAGTAAATATTTCTGATAGTTCCCTTGATCGCTTTCATTATACGGTATTCTAGGACATAGGATTACAATTACTATTATAGCTCTATAATTTTCATCTCTCTATTGTTTTGCAAAGGCCAAAGTACAGCACGTAGGGAAGCGATTGTTTTTTGCTTTTCTTTTGGATACTTTATTTTTATCCTCACAAAAGGCTGGCACGGTAGGATTGTTTAGTATGTTCACTTACTAGGTGAAAATACAGAAACTCGGAAATGTGAAATGACTTGCCCGAAGTCACAAAGCTCCTAATGAACAAAGTTACCTACTGAAATCCGGGTTTTTTCGGCCTCGTGATTTGTGACAGTGCACACCCCTGCACACGCACACCACATCCCTACACTCGCACACAGCACCTTCCTAAAGCACACTGCCCCGTGATGACCATTGTTGCCTCTCCTACTTCAAAACCAGCCAGTTAACCCACGGCTTCCACAGCTTCCAAGCTGATGGCAGTTTGCTCCCAAGCAACGCGGGGTTTACTCCCATTCAAGCGCCTGGCATGATTTATTTATCTTACCTGCTTGGTCATTTCCAAAACCCCAGCTTTCATTTGCTAATTCTTAGCACCATTGCTCTCGGCTTCTGGAAGGGGTAGTTTATTTCACTGGGTGAGTTTTGCTGTACCGTGTTTTATTTCCCTTCAGAGTCGAATGGACGTGTATATGTCACACGCTCCCACCGGATCATCAATACAGAACATCCTGCATATAAAACAGGTATCGTCTTTTTCGTGGAAAACTATTCCAAGCTTATTTCACTACATCTGAAAGGAGAGGGTTAGCCGGTCTACCCTAAGAAGCTTCAAAGCCGGTGTCTGCTTTGTCCTTGACACTGTCTTTGGTTTGATTTCCCCAGATTTAAAAAAAAAATTTTTTTTTTCATGTTTAGTTTTGAGAGAGAGCGAGAGACAAAGTGTGAGCGGGGGAGGGGCAGAGAGAGAGGGAGACACAGAATCCGAAGCAGGCTCCAGGCTCCGAGTTGTCATCACAGAGCCTGACACGGTGCCCAAACCCACAAGCCGTGAGATCATGACCTGAGCCGAAGTCGGATGCTTAACCGACTGAGCCACCCAGGCGCCCCTGAGTCCCTTGATTTTAAAGGAAAGGGCAAGGTATGGTGGAGAGCAAGTAGGTGACATAAGTGAATTCTATCTTAGATCGGAGTTTGTAAAATAGACCCTGAGCTGAAGCGAGAGGTAACCAGGGAAAGCTTGAGGAGATTGAACCTTCCCCCAGAGATTTGACTGCCCCCCTGAGGGGTGTAGATTTTCCATGAGTTCTTCCTTCAAACCAAGGGAGATCCTTGCTTCCCTTTCTGTTGACCTTGTGCTTCTAGTAGTGAAAATGTATTTATATCCTTCTGGTGCTCCAGGAGCCTTTTTTTTCTAACCAGTGCCTAGTGGTTTCCCAAGACTTGCTGTTAACAGTTGTGGCTCTCACTCTAATTATTTTTCCAAAACACATTTATTTCAGCTTTACCGATCAGATGAATTCAGGGCGTATGACTGGGGAAGCGAAGCTGAGAACATGCATCATTACAATCAGGTGAGCTGCTCGGAACTGCCCCCAGAAGCCAGCTTTTGAGAAATTATAATAAATTATCAGAGGGGCGCCCGGGGGGCTCAGTCGGTTAAACCTCCGACTTCAGCTCAGGTCATGATCTTGCGGTTGGTGAGTTGGAGCCCCGTGTTGGGCTCACTGCTGTCAGCACAGAGCCACTTTGGATCCTCTGCCCCCTCTCTCTCTACCCCTCCTCCGCTCACGCTCTGTCTCTCCCTCTCTCTGCCGCTCCCCTGCTCATGCGCACAGGTACACTCACACATTCTCTCTCTCTCTCTCTCTCTCAAAAAGAAATAAACACTAAAAAAAAGAAAGAAATTATCAGAGAGTGAAAAGAATCTTACCTGGCCATTGGTGGCATTCTCACTGATAGAGCTTTTTAAGAAACGTCTCATTTAAATATGCATTCATCGCAGAAAGTCTAGAAATAAAAAAAAAGCATATCTTAAGGAATTCAAATAATTTGTAATCCCTCCACCCAGAGAACACTAGACGTGTCAATATTTTACTGCATTTTTTCCAATCTTCTCACTACCGCTGCTTCTAGACATATTTTTTAAAGTTTTATTTATTTAAGTCATCTCTGCAGCGCACGTGGGGCTCGAATTCATGACCCCAAGATCAAAAGTCAGATGCTATTCCAACTGAGCCACCCAGGCACTCCCCCTGACACAATTTTTAATCTTACTTTTTCATTTACAGTAACGGCAAGATCTAGTCAATGTTACTGAGGTGTTTTCTTTAACATAATTTTGTTGACTGTATATTAAGGGCAATTGTTTTATAAAAATCTATGAAAATGGACAGAGTAGATGAATACCCAGTTCCTGATACCAACAGGAAAAAAATAGGATCCCACAAGAACACTGAAGGAATATTATCTACCCATGAAGACTTGAGCCTTTGGTATCTTTTTTCCCTCTGACTTTTCACACTACGATTTGTAGACCCGCTTAACCCTCCATATTTGGGATTAATCGTCTTGGCATCATTTCTTTCACTAAATTAAATGTTTCCAGTGTTTTCCCAGACTGATATATAGTTAAGGCTATTTATTAGACCAGTCAGTTTCTCACTAATGGATTGAATTGTTAGAGAAATTATTCTACCAGACCTTAGGACGACTAAGAGAGGTATGTATGTTTTTACTGTTTTTTAAGCTTGATTAAGGCGTGATTTACATTCAATAAGATTCGCTGATTTTCCAATTCAGTGAGTTTTGACAAATACATTCATTCATGTAACCATGCCACAATCAAGATACCAAACATTTCTGCTACCCCGGAAGTTTTCCCCTCCCCCTCAGAGCATGTATAGTCACAGATGCATATATTTGCAAATTCTTAGAATCGGGCCAGGAAAAAAAAAAACAAAACACCAACAAATGTTAAAGAGATTACCTTCACAGAGGAGAAGAAAGGTAGAATGAAGGGGAAGAATGTGAAGGAATAAAGGAGGCTCTCATTTGGAATTTTACATATTTCCACTTCCATTATTTTTAATGAGCATGTTATATTTATATATTGTTTCTGTTTATAAGAGAATGAAACAAAAATCTCACACACTCCCTTAAGATCGTTGTTAGTCACAGTCCTTTCTTTTTCAGCTTTATTGAGGCAAAATTAACAAATAAAATTGTAAGATTGAAGGGTGCAACGTGCTGACTTAAGTATGGGAGAGTGTCAACGTCCTTAGAATTTCTCAGCGGTTCGATAGATGGTCCTACCTTAGTTCAGGCCAATCCTGTTTTATGTGTGTCTGATTTTAGGCCATTTGAAATCAATTTTTATTATATTCTGGTCTCAACACTTTGCCCTCTTAAATTCCCAGCGCAGTCTCTGTGTGCACTGTGTTTGATAGAGAACAAGAGAATTAGCCCGTGTGAGCTCCGTGAGGGCAGAGATTCCCTTCTGTTTTGTTCACCGGTGTTTTCTCACCTGGTAAGATATTGGGCATGTCCTGGGCCCTTAACACTTATTGGCTGCATACATGAAATTTCTTTTTTTTTTTTAATTTTTTTTTTAAATTAAAAAAAAATTTTAATGTTTATTTTTGAGAGGTGGGGGAGGGACAGAGAGAGAGAGAGAGACTCAGAAACAGACTTCAGGTTCTGAGTTGTCATCACAGAACCCGATGTGGGGCTCAAACCCACGAACCGTGAGATCATGACCTGAGCCAAAGTCGGACGCTTAACCTACTGAGCCACCCAGGCGCCCCATAAGTGAAATTTCTTAACGCCCCTCTTATCCACCTTAAAATGTCTCTGTCCCCTTGATTCTCTTCTTCCCTCCTCTCTCCCAAAATGGAGGCCCTCTTCTTTCCCGAGTCTGAGGACTTGTGCCCTTGACCCCATCTCTTCCCACCTCCTCTTCCTCCTGGCTCCTTCTATCGTCTTCAGTGAACTGCTATTCCTTTTGGAAAATGAACAAACAACCTTCTGTCAACCTACCGATTCTATCGCTCACTAATCCATCCCTCTGTTTGTAACCAACATTTTTTAATATTTAAAAAGGCTGAGTTTTTCCACTTCCTCCCCTCTTCCACTCGCTCCTGAACCCCGGGATATGTAGTTTGGGCCTTCATCTTTCTATACAGCTACTTTATGTAGAGTGGCCTGTGGCTTTTCATTACCAAATCCAATGGCCCGTTCTTGCCTTCAGGTAACATGGTCTGTCAGTCACTATAGCCTCCTTGCCATTCACTGCCCCAACGTAGACTTCAATAACGTAGTGCTCTTGCATTTTTCCTTCCCTTTTTAAAAGTAAATTTATTTTGACAGACAGACTCCACACTATCAGCAAAGGGCCTGATGCGGGGCTCAAACCCACAAACCACGAGATCATGACCTGAGCCGAAGTCGGCTTCTTAACCGACTGAGCCACCCAGGCGCCCCTTCCTTCCTTTTTTGATTGTTGTCCTCCATCTACACTGGCTACTTGCCATTCCCCGCGCTCGCAAACTGTCAACCTCTTCCAAGATTCTTCATATCCCTCTTCCTTTCTCCCTTGGAGAATCAAATCATCCCTGTGGCTTCCATTATCCCTTTCTCTGGACCATCCTTACTGCCTGTCTAGATGGTTTCAGGACCTACCTCCAGCCTATTCCTTCTTCAAGGTCATCCCATACGATGCCCATGCAGTCACCTTAAGACAGAGCTCTGAGAAGTGACGCTGCCTCACTTCCCCCGACTTCTGAAAGATGTCAAGATACCTTGACTGTCTGTCTCCTACCTCATCCACTCATGTATTTTCTTCCTGGGGTTCCCGGGACAGTTTACCATCCTTACCGTGGGGTACGCACTCTTGCCACTTGCTAGAAAGCCCTCCCGCCTTCAACCCTATCTGTCAAAATCCAACGCTCCCTCGAAAGTCATTTCAAATGACTCGTTTTTCTGTGAAACTCCCAGTCGGAAGTCCTTTCTTCTTTACCTTCCCTGCCATTTTTTGGCTTTTGACATACCCTACTTTGTAGGCAAATGCTTATGTACCTATCTTGTCTTGTTCCTTCCCACTCCTTGAAGACAGGGACCACTGCAGGTGATCTTTCTACTTCCCAGAGCCTGAGAGAACTATGATCGTGGCAAATGCTCACTGAGCAGCCTGTCTGCTTATCTGAACCCAGTGGTGGCCATGAGGAGCTTTCTGTCACGAATGCTCTTTCTGTCTCTTCCAGAGCCGCCCCCCACTCTATGACTTGACCACCATGAGAGTGCCTACCGCTATGTGGGTTGGGGGCAATGACGTCCTTGTAACGCCCCAGGATGTGGCCAGGATACTCCCCCAGATCAGGAATCTCCGTTACTTCGACCTGTTGCCTGATTGGAACCACTTTGATTTCATCTGGGGCCTCGACGCTCCTCAGCGTGTGTATAGGAAAATCATAGACTTGATGAAGTCATACTCCTGACGCATGCACTTCTGGGCTCAAAGTTGCATGCAAGCCCGTGAGAGGCTCTGGAAAAGAGACTAATCAGCAGGAAAGTCTTCTCCAGGCTCGTTCGCCTCGTTGCTGTTGCCGAGATGCTCCCCTTAGCTGACATCCAAGCAAGAATTATTTCAACCGTCCTGTTCTTTCTCTAAGAAATGCGCACACCCTCCAAATCCCTTCCCCTCCGTCAAGGGTAGGCCCAATTTTCCATCTCTGCTAACTGTACACTTGGGAGAGTGGTTCAAAGAGGACTTTTTCTTTCCTAGTTAAAGTAAAATTTCCCAGAAGGAAAAGCTCTGTAAAGGCAGCCACTTGGGAATGTACTTGGGGTGACATAGGGTCATACGTTAGGGCCATAGTCATTACGGCTATCTGTAAACAAGCCACGAGATAAGGCCCAGCCCACATCAAGCATGAAAGAAAACAGCAGACTAAGAAAACTAACAAAATTTAAGTATTCTGGGAGCGCATATTACCATTCCAAGCAAAGAATGAAAAGAGAGGGAGACAAAACTGGGAATGAGCAGGTAAGATAAGCTGAATTACTGATTACTCTTAAGTTAGAACATATGAGAAATAATTCTCTCTTCTTTTGCTCTAAAGAGAAGCTAAACCGATCACTACTGGTGACTTCGTTGTCGATGTGGACTTTACACTATTGCCTGCTAACAAGAGACATTTAAAGCATCTTCCGGGAAACCTATTTGAGAAGCCCCAAGGGAGGCACAGGAATATTCTAAGTCTTGCTCTCCTTCGTTCTCTAAATGATGCCAGACATTGATTCTAGGATTAAGTACAGAGTTCCAACAGTAGCGTGAAGTTCAGTTGCAAAAGTTCTGGACCTTCTATGATAATGTCGTTAACGTAAAACTGTTTACGATCCTCAAGGAATCATAAATAAATGATACACATGCATACCTCCCACAGTTTATTTATTTTTTAAAAATTTTTTTTTTCAACGTTTATTTATTTTTGGGACAGAGAGAGACAGAGCATGAATGGGGGAGGGGCAGAGAGAGAGGGAGACACAGAATCGGAAACAGGCTCCAGGCTCTGAGCCATCAGCCCAGAGCCCGACGCGGGGCTCGAACTCACGGACCGCGAGATCGTGACCTGGCTGAAGTCGGACGCTTAACCGACTGCGCCACCCAGGCGCCCCATCCCACAGTTTATTTAAACTTAAAACAGGTAAATGTAGATTAGGTCACTGATATTTGTACGTAGGATCAGGGTTTTGGGGATGTCAAATGCCACATCATCATTCTTCAATAAATAATCCATAATTCATGATTTTTAACCTCAGTTTTAGTGTCTTTAAAAGGAATGACAATTTTAAAACACTTGGGAAGCAATTTTATTTTATTTTATTTTATTTTAGAGTTTTTTAATGTTTATTTTTGAGAGAGAGAGAGACAGAGTGCGAGTGGGGGAGGGGCAGAGAGAGGGAGACACAGAATCCGAAGCAGGCTGTAGGCTCTGAGCTATCAGCACAGAGCCCCATGTGGGGCTTGAACTCATGATCCATGCGATCGTGACCTGAGCTGAAGTCAGACACTTAACTCATTGAGCCACCCAGGCACCCCACTTGGGAACCCCAACGTTAAATGCAAATCCTTCCATATTCGTATGATTTTTATTTACCAAGAGTAGACTATTGAATTTTTATCAGTTTCTAGTGACTTTTATTGCGGTCTTCCAAAGAGTAAAATGTAATCTTCATGCCAACAATACAGCCTTTTGAAGTCACATTTAACTAAATTAATCAAAATGCATTAAACAATTAAACTGTTATAACAAACAGAACAGGCATAAGTAAGTCTGAGAACAAATCTCTAACTCTCAGCAAGCATACAGTTCAACTGGAAAGAGTGGAAAGATGCTACAACAAATCAGCCTACTAGTTATGAGCATTTAGGAGTCATTGGATGTCAGTTCAGGTATCTACGGGAGAAAAGAAGGCATCAGTTGATATAGTAATCTAGTTAAGCAGAGGTTAATTAAGTGAGTTCCTATATGGGATTTATCTTATTTGGTTGTTGCTATAATGCTGTGTAACAAATAATCGTGAATAGCTGTGCACATTTTTTTTTTTTTTTGAGACAGAGAGAGACAGAGCATGAGGAGGGGAGGGGCAGAGAGGGAGACACAGAATCCGAAGCAGGCTCCAGGCTCTGAGCTGTCAGCACAGAGCCCGACGCGGGGCTTGAACCATGAGCCGTGAGATCATGACCTCAGCCGAAGTCAGACGCTTAACCGACTGAGCCACCCAGGCGCCCCAACCGTGAACATTTATTTTCTGTGCTCACAGTCGTGTGGCCTGGCTGGGCTTTGAGCTGGGATCACTTGGGCTTGGCTCAACAATGTGGGTTGGATCCTGGCCTGCTCCACAGGCCAGTTCATTCTGGAACTAGCAGCTAAGAACACGGGATCGTGTTCTTCACCTGATAGGTCCCAAGAGCACAAGGGGACCGCCACCATCACACCGGCACGGTTCAACCTCCGCCTGCTGCCCGTCTGCTAACATACCTTTGGCAGCTGCAGATCACACGGCCAAGGCCGACCCCAGCAGGTGGGGTGGTCTGCTTCACCTACAAGGAGAGGCTGCAGATCACATGACAAAGAAAGTGCACACATAATGCAATTAGGCGGGGGTGCAGAATTGGGACAGAATCTGTTGTACCACATGCAGGCACAAAACTCAAAAGGTGAAAATAGGGAATGCGATACAAAGTAAGGCTCTCCCCTCGCCCCAGCTCCTGGTCGCACGGTCTCGCCTTCAAAGACAACCGTCTCTCAGCGGTGGTTTTGACTACCTTCTATGGATCATACATGCCTATCCAAGTAGATCCGTAGATACCCATTTGTTTTTTTCACCTAAACGTACCACATGCTTCCCCATTTTGCTTTGATCGCTTAATATATGTTGGCACGTTATTACAGACAACTTGAAAATCCATTACCAACAGACATGAAGACGGAGTAGGATCTTTTGCAATTACCCACATTGCTCCAAAAAATGTTGTGCAGAAATCATTTCGAGTGTTGATACAAATACCCCTTTACACCTACAAGAAATGTCTTTGAACCATAGTTGCTCGTTCAAAGACCATGTAGAATTTTAATGTTGGATGAAAATATTTTTAACTTTGCTGAGTGATCAAAATGGTTTTATTTATTTATTTATTTATTTATTTATTTATTTATAAGAGAGAGAGAGCAAGGATGCAAGCTGGGAAGGGGCAGAGAGAGAGAGAATCCCAAGCAGGCTCGATGTTCAGCTTGGAGCCCGCTTTGGGGCTCAATCCCACAACCTGGAATCATGACCCGAGCCCAAGTCAAGAATTGGACACTCAACCAATTGGACACCCCCCAGGTGCTCCCTGCCGAGTGGTGGACAAACCCCACCGCCCGACAGTCTTCCGTCGGAAACACACAACCATCTAGAAACTGAGCAGATTGATAAACACAGTAATAACATGTCTGTTGACGTTCAAACCATACTAGTGACCACCGATAATAACGACTTTTGTGTAACATTAATCATTAGGTGTCCTAGCAGAAGGGGTCAAACAGAGTTTGCTGCTCTTTTTAAATCAGGCCACAATGTCCACGAGGCCATGTGTCCTGTAGGAGTTGAAGAATGGAATGTTCCTGCTGTGTCCTTCCCCAAATGACAGAGAAGTGATCATTACTCTAGAGAATGCCAGGCAAATGCCTGGTAGTCCTTTAAGACAGTCACCCTCCGGCCTTGGCCATGTGTAGTCAACAAGGAAGAACCTTCGGCTTCAGTGTATGTTGCAATCTGTTTTGGGTTTCTATCTGAAGGTCGTAAATATGTCTTTATCGATGTAACACCACCAGAAAGAGAACTCCCTTCATTCACGCTTGGAATCGTTAGACATGTATTACTCCTAGATTAAACTCTCAATAATTTTGCACTCTGATTTTCCAAGAAATCCCCCAATGCCATCATTTCTCATATTCCTCCTATCCCTCTTCCTCCAGTAGAGAAGCTCCCGGACCACGGCTGTTATGTCTTAATATATTCTCAGCTCGCACAGAGCTTGTGCCCAGACATAATTTGTTAGAATATAAAATCGTTGAGGAACAAAATTAGCTATTAAATACACTCCTCGTAGTAAAAAACGTCTTGGCGTAGCAGTAAGAATGACTTGAGCGGCAGAAAAGCTACTATGTTCAATAACTGTTCCAAACACAGTGTCTCAAAGCAGACAGACTATGAAAGTTCAGAGAGAGGGGCGCCTGGGTGGCGCAGTCGGTTAAGCGTCCGACTTCAGCCAGGTCACGATTTCACGGTCCGTTGAGTTCGAGCCCCGCGTCAGGCTCTGGGCTGATGGCTCGGAGCCTGGAGCCTGTTTCCGATTCTGTGTCTCCCTCTCTCTCTGCCCCTCCCCTGTTCATGCTCTGTCTCTGTCCCATAAATAAATAAAAACGTTGAAAAAAAAATTTTTTTTTAAAAGAAAGTTCAGAGAGAGGATAGTGGATTTTCTTTTCCAAGCTGATTGCTTTAGTCTTTTATTTATGTTGAGAGGCACCTATGCATGGGGCCATCTGCCCATCTTTGTGCACAATGAGACAGACTGGGCAAAAAGTAAGAAAGTTGTTACCCTACTTGATATTTCAGTCAAATTCAATGACAGCTTTTAGCGTATGGCAAGGTCTGAACCTTCAAAGCCCAGTTGAGATTCCTCTAAAGTCTGGACGTTTCTCTTATCTTTTTAGTCACGTGGGTTTTCAGGGCGATGGGAAGGGTAGGGATTTGGGAGACAGACTTGCAATTTGTCCGTCAAAGTGTCTTGCCTTTGCTGGGCTTGTGCTAGACATTCCTACGCCTCTATTGCATCAGAGATCCAGGAAGTTCTCTGGGGCAACCTCTTCCTGTAATCCCACCCATGGCTACAGGGTAAGTGAGTCCTTGGACCCATAATAGAATACATGGATAAAACCACCCTCGCTGC